GGGGTCAAGTGTTTCCTGGTCTTCCTGAAGTCCACGATCAGTTCCTTGGTCTTTGCCACGTTGAGCTGCAGATGATTCTGCTCACACCACGTGACAAAGGAGTCACGTGGTAACCATGTTATAACCAACCATGTTATGACCAACCAAGTTATAACAATCATGTTGTACAAATGTGCAATTGGGCATACCTCATGTAGAGGAGGTACCAGAACACCTACACCCAACCCCTTCTAAATCTTTTTTGCGATATAAATTATATTTTAGTAATCGAGTTTTACATTTTTCTATTTCCTTGGCTACTCCACTGCTTCCGTTTTATGAAGGTTTGCCCTTTACTTAATATAAGCCGGTGTCCACCTATCCTTTGGTAAACTGGACCTGGGCTTGTCATCACAAAAGATCACACCAGTCTTCGCTGGATGTGAGGGTATGGGAAAGATTCTGAGGCTGATACTTAGGAACCAGACACTTCATTTGATCCAAGTCCCCAAACTCAGGTAGTAGCCCGGCTAGCTCAGTCGGTAGAGCATGAGACTCTTAATCTCAGGGTCGTGGGTTCGAGCCCCACGTTGGGCGCTTGAAATTTTCTTTTTTCTTTTCCTACCATATTCGGAGAAGTAGTTCATAAGTGTTACTTAATTTAAAAGAAATAAATCCATTAGTTTGAATTTATTAAAACAGACACATTTCAATATGTGTTTGTGAAATACCAAATCGTGTAGTGGTACAGTAAAAGTAAATTCTTACTATGTCTTTAAGCTGTGCTTCACACGTGGTTTAGATATGGATCCCAAAGGTTGATTCTGCTCATCTGTTTCTCCCACTGAAAACGCTATATGCAGATGAACAACATCAACCTTTTGTGATTTATTTACCTGAATGATTGAGTATGCATCAAGACGTTTGAATTCAAAATACATCTCAAGAAGTTACATGCAGGATACCTTTCCTTGTCTCAGTGTTTCTGATTCCAGCTCTCCCCCGTTGCATTACAAACATCTATAATCTTTTACAGTGAGGCTGGAATAAAAGGAAACGTCCCTGGGTGGGCTCGAACCACCAACCTTTCGGTTAACAGCCGAACGCGCTAACCGATTGCGCCACAGAGACGACATGGTACAGGCTTGATTGTTTCCCTTCCCCCCTCGTTGAGCGCACAGCAATACTGTGGCAAAGCTAGTGAAGCGCCAGCTATTGTCTCTATGGCGCAATCGGTTTGCGCGTTCGGCTGCTAAACGAAAGGTTGGTGGTTCGAACACACTCAGAGACGATGGCTGCTCCTTTTATTTGATGTTTTTGTGACAAGACAAGCGAAAACGGGAAAATAAAAATGGAGGAACGCCACAAGCGCTCAAGTGAGGGAGATGGGCAGCAGCAGAAAGGGAAGGCAGGAGATTGCAGTTTCTCTGTAATTACCTTTCAAATTTAAAACTGGCAGCTCACACTGGATAGTAAAAGCAGAAATACAGTATTTCTGTAATTTTAGAGTAATTTTCTATATTGTGAATAACGTTTTACAAGGGGGAAAGGGTGGGGGTCCAGAAATTACTACAAAGCTTTGTAAAGTTGCATTAACCCAAAGACATGAAGAAAAAGAAAGACAAAACAACAAAAAAACTTGTCGTCCCTGGGTGGGCTCGAACCACCAACCTTTCGGTTAACAGCCGAACGCGCTAACCGATTGCGCCACAGAGACCACATAGAAAACATCACGGAGTTACTAATTTTGAAAGTTAAAAAGGATAGTATATAGCTTTTTTTAATAGTTTTTTTTTGAAAACATGGAAGGCAGATCATGTGGTCACTGAAGAAAAACATTTCAGGTGATGACACCTGGGATTAAAAATGTTGCGCCCAACGTGGGGCTCGAACCCACGACCCTGAGATTAAGAGTCTCATGCTCTACCGACTGAGCTAGCCGGGCTGATGACTACTGACAGAGTAATAAGTAGTCTAAGTATTATGAATTAACACATGGAAAGTGTTGTGCTTAAAACTAGAGCCTCCTCGATATCTTTACATTTTAAAATAGTGAGCTCTGTTAAATTATAAACGCTGCCATTCCTTCCAATCACGCCCATCCAAGTTTCACTGTAGTTGCCCATGTGAACATTGAAGTCTTCCAGTAGAACAACAGTCACCAGATGAGGTGCTCTCCAGCACCCCACCCAGTTACAAGAAGGCTGGGTACTCCGAATTGTTGTTTGGCGCACAAGTACTAACAATAGTCAGGACCCATTTCCCAACCCGAAGGCGGAGGTAAGTGACCCTCTTGTGCACTTTTGAAATGCGCTGTTAAAAAAAAAAGGGACCACTGTGATCTGTTAACATCTTTTGCAGTGACATCTCTGCTTTTAAGATTAGGCTTAAAACTTTCCTTTTTTGCTAAAGCATATAGTTAGGGCTGGATCAGGTGATCCTGAATCCTCCCTTAGTTATGCTGCAATAGACGTAGGCTGCCGGGGATTCCCATGATGCATTGAGTTTTTCCTTTCCAGTTACCTTTCTCACTCACTATGTGTTAATAGACCTCTCTGCATTGAATCGTACCTGCTATTAATCTCTGTCTCTCTTCCACAGTGTGTCTTTATCCTGTTTGCCTTCTGCCATCTGCAGCGACCGGCTGCCCCTCCCTGAGCCTGCTTCTGCCGGAGGTTTCTTCCCGTTAAAAGGGAGTTTTTCCTTCCCACTGTCGCCAAAGTGCCTGCTCATAGGGGGTGAAATTATTGCTGGGTTTTTCTCTGTATCTATTATTGTAGGATCTACTGTACAATATAAAGCGCCTTGAAGTGACTGTTGTTGTGATTTAACGCTATATAAATAAAATTTAATTCAATTGACATGTTTTCAAATCATATTTATCATTGTTGTTATCAGTGTTTTTCTTCTTCCTTGTCTGTTTTGATATAACGTGTAATGTTATGTAAGATGGAAAGTGCCTTAAGCCATGATTGTTTATTAAAGAATATGGTAAATGCTTTCAAATGCCTTTTTTATTAGTTTTTGACGTTTTCCACTAATCTGTTCTCAAATTTAAAATTTACTCGTGTGAAAGGTCAAATTTTAGTGTATCATGCCAATTTAACGTGACTGTAAAAGCTAGCTAAAACTGCAAGTTTACGATGTGGTATCTACGTGGCAGCCTTCAGTCACCAGTTATTAACCTGACATTGTTCGCGGAGGAGGATTAATGCAAGGGTGCAGCATGGTAAAGAGTTCTAAACCACGTCTTTTGCGAAATGTCCGGGGACCACCACCGGCCAGAGGGCCACTTTGGATCCGCCCGGCCATGTCATAAATAAAAGCAGCATAATGTTATTGAATGACAAAGCAAATGACTGCACGTGCGCACCAAGGTTTAACTTGTTTACCACAGAAAGCGTGCAACATGTCATGATTCCTCTGTGCATCAGCTAAGCATGTTTTCTTTATGGTGTGCATTTTAAGTATCTGTAATCCTGTCTGAGCCTTTTAACGTCAGTCCAGTGACTAAATGGTCTTGGGAAGATGACCGTCTCTGATGCTCCACGTGAAGCATACAGGACCAATACAATGCAGTGAAATGAAGTAGTAGTGCTAATAAACTGGGGCTTTAGGACAGTGGGTCAGTACTACTAACTAACATTTGTTTGTTTGGTTTAAGTTTGGCCGGCAGCTGTGATGTTTGAAGACATATATTTTAATAAAACTAAGTTAAATCAAGCGATGTAATGTGTATCTGCAATAAAAACACATCTTCAGAGTCAGGGACAGAACTTCATTTAGAGTTTGCCCATGCGCAGAAAGCACTGCCAGATGGCGCTATCCGCTACAGTAAACCCCGAGGATGAAAGAGGAGACTGGGAGTGTTTTACAGCCAGCTTTGACTGTCACTCTTTTGCAGCACATAGAGTAGAGAGGCACGTTTCTGCTTTTGCACCACCGCCTTTTTCGCTTTTGTAAAATATAGACTTGGAAGCGCAACACCCGCAGCCGCACCACGTGACCAAATGCGGAAATCATCCGACTGAGGAAAGTAGAACTGGAGGCGAGAGGTGAGGGTTTGGTGCCCGCCTGATTTTCAGAGAGGCTTTTGCTGCTGCTGCTACGTGTTTCGGAGAAGGTTTCCACTTAACCCCACGGTTAAATGTACGACTTCCGTATGGTGTGAGTAAAGGTAAGCAACAAGGAAGCAAAACAAAAGAAAGCCCCGACCGTTTGTGAAACGCGGTAACTTTTTAAGAGGAAAGCAACAAACCACCTGGCTGGTTGGCTGGATGAGAAGGGAGTCTTTGTGTAGACAGATGTGCAATTGTAGTAATTGTCGATGCTGCACGCTTTACTCACTGTGACGACTGTGTGATAATTCTAGTGTTACTACAAAGAAGTGGACCAGAGAAACTAACAGAGCCCTTTATTTGTGACCTCACCTCTGCACATTTAGCTCCTAATGCTTCATGTTTTGTGTAAAAGTCATTCTTGCTTCTTCTCCCACTTGTACTTTCTTTGTTGCTCTGCAGAAAAAGCTCGGGGAAAAACGAGCATGGCTGTGGCTGAGTTTGGGTGTAAGAGTTTTAATGGTCTGCATTTAAAGCTGTATTCATAAAGCAACATAAAATCCATCAGCACAAATTTAGATGCAAGTGGTGCCTTTAAAAGCGATTAAATGAGACTTGACAGAGTCTTTGAAAGCTTCTGAGTTAAAAAAAAAAGAGTAGTCCTTTGAATAACTCGTACAAACACATAAAAGCTTAAGAAAATATCACTCACTGCCAGCTAAGCTGTCTCATATTTCAAATACCAATGTGGATTTGGCAAAAACAAAAACAAAACCAGTACCTAGATATTCCCTAAATCAAGCGTACATTCACTTCATAATTCATGCATCAGTGTAATTTTGTGCTGTGGTGGCTTCCACGTGCAGCAAAAAGTGTGAGAGAGGTCCACAACTTCGGTTACGTAATAGTGTAGTCAGGACATGCTAACTATAAATATGTTATGGTTCCCCTTTGTTGCCAGTTTGTTCCTGTTTTACAGGGAGCAAATCACCTCCTTAAAATAACAAGTACCTGTTGCTGCTCTCTGTGGCATCTGCAGTTTTAATTTATGGGCCGTGGTGCAGAGCTGTGACAGCATTGACGGTGACAAAGCCTGGCCTTAGTGGTTTAAATGAGGGGTCATGCATATAAATGAGTTTTGCCCTTTGAAGAAACAAGGCCTTGCAATTTCACAGGTTGAGTCGGTGTGGAAATACAGCAACAGGTGATGAGCCACAAAATTAAAACTGCTGAAGCAAATGGCATTGATTTATGTTATTGCAAGACAGTCTTTTGCAGGGAAAGTCTGGGGTTCATATGGATGTTACTTAATACCTACTAGGGCTGTGCGATATGACCAAAATCTCATATCCCGATATTAAGACATGGTACGATATAAATCACAAAAATCTAACATTTTCTGTAAATTCTGTGAATCTCGGGCAGCTCGACTTGCGTGAAGTGTTTCCAGCTGCGCGTCATGTACCTGGAGTCGAGTGTTTTAACTGATGCATGAAACTATACATTTTTAGACATAAGTTGTAATGGCTGCCGTTTTCTTTGTGAGTATTTATTACACGGCGTGCTGCGGGGAAAGGCCTGTTCTAACGTTTGAGTCTAAGGTTAATTTTTTAGCACCTGACTGCTCTTTTTTGCTTCTCATCCGTAAACACTGCATCTTTCACATGATTCAGTTTATTTTGAAAAGTCTCAACAGGATCTTGAGCTTTATTGTGAAAGGTTTATGTGGAACAAGCGGACACGCGGTGGTTTTACCGTCGTTGTTGCTAACGACAACGCATAAAAACAAACGCTTGTCTGTTTGTAGTGTGGTTATATTAAATGTAAGAGAAAGAGGGAATGTTAAGAAATTAATATAGCCACTACAGTGACCATCAAAATAATGAAAAAATATTGCGTAAACAGTTTATTTTGCGACACCACGAAACAAACTGAAACGATAGACATCGTTATATCGAACAGCCCTAACACCTACCTAAACATTGCTGTAGACCACCCACATGTTTACTGCTGCGAATATTGTCAGTATTTAGTAACTTTGTGTAATTAACAGTGACATTTGTTTTCTTAGCCCCACCTGCCATGAATGCGTGACATTGTATAGCATTGCATTGTCCTACTTGCCTTGCTTAGAAACACATTCATAAAGAATCCAGTACCCCCAAGTTTTAAGCAAATAGCAGTAACTCTTTAGTAGCTCTCTTTGAAATCCCAGCATATTGCAGAAGAAAAAGATCATGTAATTTATTGCAACCTGGGATCTGTTTTTGCAGGTTTTAACAAAATGACTGTGAGCATAACAAAATTATATACTAGTCAAATTAAAACTTGTGAACTTTGTGACTGCATAACAGTGAAGTGAAACAGTGCAAGGAATGCAGTATTAGTCATATGGTCTGACAGGTTGTGACCAAGCCAACAGTTTAGCCACATATCTGAAACTTGTCACAGCAGGATGTCCTTAATAATAATAAACAGTAATAAAATAATAATAATAAACAGGATGTCCTTAATAAACAACAGTCTTACAGCAGGTTAAAGAATAATCTGACCATTCACATTTTTTTCCCTGTGCTTTGTTTAAAACCTGCCCAGTTGTGTTCCACCACAACAAATACACAAGTATAAACCTAGAATAAGCTATATGTTGTGGTATTTTACGTGACACAGATCACCCAACACATCCATGTAAACACTTTTTAACCTTGTAAAATTTTGTGTATCTATCCAATCATATATACCTAATGTGTCACCACCCTGATTCTACAGCTCAAAGTGTGCACATTTGAATCCCATCAGTGGCTTTCTAATCTTAGCGACCCATTTAGGTGCTTGAAACAGGACTGGTATTTTGCCCCACTAAAAGTGGATCATTGTCTGATTTCTGCAGCACTCTCAGTGGATGTGACACTGTAAAATTTCTGTTCCAGGCTGTTACACCCTTACCTTACCATTTGCAGCAAGAAAAGTGTCGAGTCTGGCATTGGTCCTCACTTGGTCCACTTTTATTTCTCCCTTTGACTAAAAAAGCAGTAAGTGGGATTCTTGGGGTCATTTGTCTCACAGACCTCATCGGTTCCTTTAGAAATTATTTAAAGGGACTTAGCGACTTCTAAGAACAAGGTCAGACTTGGCAAATCTTTTATTTTGGACAGGAAACTTTACTAGGGCTGATTAAACGTCAGCAGCATTTGTTTTTTGACAATTCCAAACTGGAATACAATTTTTTTTCTGTTAAAAATGGGCAAAAAAAATGCATTTAACATGCATGTGAGCTGCATGCATGTGAGTCATTTTTCTGTCTGAGCTGAGATTAGTTATTATCATGACATAAATAGTCTCAAATTAATGAGCTTAAATTTTCTTGCAGTCTGGTGGAACAAACCTGTGGACCATCTCAACTGACCCCTGATGTCTTAGAAGTAAAACTTTTAAAAAATGAATAAAAGCTGTAGCTTCAGCACGGCGCTTGTGATGCGAAAGGAGACACACACGTTTTTTCTTAAATCTGTAAACAAATCCTGCTAAATGTCACCTGTTACTGCACTAATTCTGTTCTGGAGCTTTAAGAAGTTAACAGTGTAGCAGCACAAGATCCAGTTTTCAACCAGCTTTGGGCTCGAGTGACCCTCCAGCTCACAGAAGGTTTTCAGAGCAGATTGGCAAGTACAATTCACTGCACAATCTGATATCTTGGTGTTTCGATTATCATAATTAATCTGCTCCAGGTTCAACATTGCAAGTGACCAGTCGCATTGCTGTGATGTCATAGTTGTTGAATGTGGAAACACCATCACAGCAAACACTAACCTTGACCCTGTTGGTGTTTGTTTTTTCCTGAGTAGACATTGGCAAGTTTCTTTCCACGTCACAATACTGTGACATCACAACAATGTGATTGATTTCTGGCCGTGTTAGCCTGGACCAACATTAATTATGATGATCCAGGAACAACACTAACACAAGTCAGTACACCTACTATCACCAGCTGCAGCACAAAATTGGATATATTTTCGAGCTGTGGGGTGAGCCTTGGAACACTTTCCCGATGAGGCTTCTTGTCGAGAGACAGGAAGAGCCAGTGCTATCTGGTAAGAGGTAGTTGAACCTTCAAAATAAGAGCACAGGGCTTGTCCGATAGTTTGATTGTGTCACCTCAGACAGATGAAAGCAAATAAATAAATCACTTAATATTCTTGGTGGTATGTATGTACAAAAATGTGCACGTAAATAACAAATATTAGCCGAGCTTTTTTTCCCCTTCGTGATGTGGGTCTCTACTGTGATGACATTGACACTTGAGTAAATTACACAGACCATTGGAGAAAATGGTTTCATATTGATGGTTTGTATCTGTGACTGCTTGTTTTCAATCCATTCATGTGCTATAATATATGAATGTACTGTATCAAGGATTTAGGTTTATTATTGTCAGACTGACACAGAAAAACCAACATTTTCTACCAGAGTTTTTGTTTTTTAGATCAACAGCTCAGGCTTATTTTAAAGTAATCGGTCCTATCTACTCCAATTTATGGATTTCAACATTTCTTTCTTTTTGGTTGTTTTACTGTTTACTGTACCAAAGTCAGTGTTGCCCTACCCTGCTCTGAACTTACTACAGTAAAAATAAAACATGTTCATTGTCACCATTTAGTGTTTCCTCAGTGAGAAAACTCATCAAGTTTTGTGCTCACAGGGGGGAAAAAACTTCTTCCACGTCCTCTCTTGAAATATAAAGTTTCAAAATGATGTATGAAGATGTGCGTGGGTGTGAGAGGGAATATTATTGTGTAATGAGAATAAAGGCTTTCAATTCAATTTCAATTCAATTTTTTTCTGTAATGTAGGCCTAAAATGATAAAGTGTTAAAGCAATGAGGGAACTTTTTTTAGCATTATTTTTTTTTTTTAAAGTGGCATTCACGTGCTTCCATACTTTTCATAAAACATCCTTTTGTACTAATAATAGCATTAGCTGCTCCAAATCTTAACACCTGACTTAACTTAAAAATTGTGTCACCAGATCAAATAATTGCATGCACTACAAATGCCACTTCTAAAAAGATTCTATAGCAATGTCACAAGTTCTTGCACCTGTTGGTTAAAATTATTTAAAGCTGCTGCTTGTTGAACTCTGTCAGGCCTGCTGGTTATTGTTGTATAACAGCAGTACTGCCTGAAAATAAGACTGCTATCTTTGAGTGTTATCGTAGTAGTATATTAAATAGATCTGCATGCTATGTCTTTCATGTACTGGCTATGACTACCTTGTGCTGCACTGTACTTTGCATAAATATAGTTAAAGTTTCTCCGTGTTTATAAGAAAAGATTTTCCATCTGTGCGAAGCCCACTGGCAGCAGCAGCCTCAGCCCCTAGCTAATCCTCTTAGACTGTTTTGTTGTTTTCCTTTAATTGAAGTCTCTGTCGGGAGTCTCTGGTTCTCCTGGCTTGACTAGTACAGGACAGCTGTGCTCTCAGCTGAAATACACGCTAACGGGGGGTTGAGCATTTAGGAACAAGCACAGGGAGTCCAGCCATTATTTCACTGCTTTTACTTTTCGCTCATGTAAATCTTTGTAAATCTTCCTCTTGTTTTCTGTTGTCACCCCCTTGTGTGATTGCCTCCTAACTTCTTAATTTTTCTTTTTTTTCCTTTTTTTTTGCAGAGTTGTTTTGAGGTCGGACTGCTGAGATGACAAGGCTGTGACAGTGTGTGACTAAGTGTGTCTGTATTGGACTCATTCCTGTGAGATGGCTACTGCAAAGAAAAGTGAGTGTATACTGTTGTATGCATTCTTTAAAAGTACTTCTAAGTCATTCTGTAGTAATGTGCCAGATGATGGTGTGATTGCCTGCAATTTTTAGAAACAGGAAATGCCCACGTTAAACTGGTGAGACAGACAGACAAACAGCAACGGCTGTAATATTCAACATATAGGCAGCCCACACTAACCCGAGATTCGAATGTTTTTGTTTTTTTAAGTTCTACTGAATAACTCAGTCGTGTGGCAACAGACTGCAAAAATAATTTGCATAAAGTTATTTGGGAAGGGGGGGAGGTATTGAAAGAGGAAACCAGTTTGCTGATACATTTGGTACAGGAAATCACGCACAGTCATATGAAAAACTGAGTACACACAAGTTGTAAGTTGTAGATTTGCCACTGTACGTGTTGTGTGACTCACTTTGGGCTAAGCGTTAGCTGTCACACAGACGGCCTCACATTTTGTTCTAGAATACGTTGGTATATAGAGAAGTGCATGGTCGACTCGGTGATTGCAAGATGTCCAGGTCCTGTGACTGAAAATCAAGCCCAAATCATCATGCCTCCACCACCATGCTGACATTTGGTATGCAGTGTTTGTGCTGTGTATGTTTGCTTTTCTCCTAACGTGGTGCTGTGTATTATGGCCAAACATTTCCACTTTGTCATATCTGTCCAAAACACATTTTCCTGTAATTCCTGTTCAGATGCTACAGCCGAGTTGGTTTATTCTTTTTAGAGAGACGATGCTTTTTCTTGCTAACCCTTCCAAACAAGCCATACTTGTTAAGTCTTTGTCTAATATGATGAACTTTAACTTTTTCATTCACTTTAACATTTAACATGCCACTGAGGCCTGTAATGTTTGAATGTCGCACTTGTTGTTTTTTCTGAGCAGGTTCTCTGAGTGTTACATGGTCTGACCATGAGGCTAATTTGCTTACATTGTGGCTTTGTGTTAACATACACCTGAGTGCTCCAGACCAGCAGACTGCCAAAACTTCTGCTTTTATAGAGGTGCTCACAGTTGCTGATGATCAGTTAATCAAACGGATTTGATTAGGAATATCTAAACTGCTACTTGCCCTCTTTAAGTAAGTAAAGGGTAAGTAAGGGTTTGTTTTTCACAGGAAAGGATAGGAAAGGAAATGATGAGTAGTCGTGTGAAACTTTCATTTTCACATTGCTATATATAGATGCGTAAAAAAAAAAAACCCAAACAAAAAAACAGTTTTACTCATCTTGGACATGAGCTACAGTTTTAGATGCTTCATATTTGGCTAACTGACGTAGCACTTCTTCTGTATTCATTGTTTATTAGAAGGTAAACGAAAGGAAAAAAATAGAGTAACTAATTCCCTGTTAGAATTCATGATGACGCATAACCACAGATTAACCATTTCAGCCATGACACAGCCTGACTTAAATTATTTTTTTGATTGAAAAGCAGAAATGGTACAGTGAGGCATGCCAGGGAACAATGACTATGTGTTTATCTCTATGAAAACGTAATCTCCTTCGCAGTAGTTATGGATACTTGTTGCCTTCACAGACCACTTTGCAGACCTTTGTTAGGTTCACTGATGGCTGGTTTGTAAAAGGTTTGGATTGGCTCAGATATCACTGGAAGAGTGTGTCTTAGAAGTTGTTACCTTTAGTACAGTAAAAGTATTTTATAATAAGCAGTAAAAATTTTACTGTGGAGATTTCAATCATCTTCTTTTGTCCTTTTGAACATTGCCGTGTGCGAGTATCTGTGGTAATCTGTAACACACAAAATGTTATTGTTGTTGTTTGTTTTTTAAAAATCTTTTCCCAGGAGGATTTTGTAAATTACTGTGCGCTTTCATCTGCTGCATATCAGCGGGATCAGTCTCCCTCAGTTGTCTTCATATGAAATTTTATATTTGTAGCTTGGACCACTTCATGGGCTTGGACACGTCTGTGTTACTTAGGGCCGAGGTCAGTGGATGTAAAGGCGACAGAAAAGAAGCTAAAAGAAGACAGGAAGACATAGATGAGCGTGTGTGATCGCACTTTAACCATGCCCAGCAGTGTGCTGAAAGCAAAATTGAAGGTTTTTTTCTCTTCTTCCCACAAAGAGTGCTACTAAATGTGGTAATATAACCAAATGTGAGAGTCTCAGGTGGGTCATTTCAGAGTTGTTACCAAATATTGAAGCTTGCAGTTTGTTGGTGTAATGTTAACAGTAGACACTGGTAATATTTTTTATCTTTTTATTAACTGCAGTTTTTTTCATTAATAACAGCTGATTGGGTTTTTTGGGGGGGGGGGTTTTTGCAATTTTTGGAGGTAATGATATTTTACGTCCAGTCTGCAAACACTGCACTTGATTCCTAAACCCACCAGGATTAGACTGATAGGCTAACAGCCTACAGTAATATTCAGCAAAGCAGAAAGGGACATGCTGACAGGCAGATTAGTGGAAGGACATAAGTAGATGTATATTAATCTGAAATAAGCCAGTTGAGCAGGGCTGCGTGTTAATTTGTGTGTACACATTCTTTTTTGTGCTAACTCGGGGATATGAGACCAGTCTAAACAGTGCCAGCTCTCAGTATTGTGATAATGATAGGCTTAGGGTTTGGCTCAGATCTGCGCCTTTGATGCAGTTCTTGTATGTGAAAGTACCTCAAATACACACGAAATGCTTGTGTTAAAGAGGTTATCTGTAAATAGGTTTTCAGTCAAATGCAACTTAAATATATAAAATCAAAGGTTAATTTATTTAAATAATTCATCATTAAGAAAAATGTGCTTGGTCTAGTGAATTTCATTTGACCAGATTAAATTAAATGTAAGTACATTGTACTTATGTAACAAAAATTATATGGGGAATAACTTAAAGTCGGCAATCTGGGCAGATATATTTTTTTGAGTGTCTTTAAGAAAGAATTGCCTTTGTTGATCTTTGTGAGTGGATTCATTAGTGAAAGAAATTACCGCCAAGTCTGTCTGGATGAGTAGATCTTTAGCATTCATAGGAACATGACACCAGATGAATGATAAAACTGAAAAATGTTTATGAATGAGCTATTTTAGATGTACAGGCCTCTGGAAGTTACAGTTTTAAATCAGCAATGGAGGTGATGGATGGCTGCAGCATTACTTTTGGCATGAGTGGATCACCCTGTTGAAGAAGATTAGCATTTTAGAGGGTTATAAAATCTTTTTTGATAAAAATCTAGAAGCCTGTTTACATAAAAACACAAGTAAACACATTAGCTGTGAGCTACAGATGCATTTTTGGTACGATCCAGGGGTTAAAGCGGGATTTGGACAGCTCTAACAGCAGCTCAGATAACAACCATAGATATATATTTGTTTGTCTTAGTGGCTTTGTTAGATTTGTTTTGTTTGTGTAGAGGCTGTGTGATCTGCTGACCTTTTTTTGCTGCTGTGGCTCTGAGGTTTATGGATCTTTGTGGATTTAGGCAGCTGCATTGTATAATATATCAGCAGATATTACTCAGGCTGGGACACTAGCTTGAGTGATATCTGCCTAGCTGTAGTATGAAATTGGAATTTGGCAACAGATAGTGAAGAACATCAGCTTAAATTCAAACGAATGAGTGAAAACCCTGACCTAACCAAACAGTGAGCATGGTTACTACTGCAAATAAAAAAAATAAAAAACTTTAACAGGCTTCATGTATAATGTTTACCCCACATAGCCTGTACTTAGGTGCGCCGTCCAAGTGTACTAACAGCTAGTCAAATTTCAATGACTCATTTTTTTTCCATCTGTGAGAACAGTATCATCTGTGATTTGTTTGTGTAAAAACCTCTCGCTCTTTCTTTGAACTCCTAACTGGCTCGCCAGCTTGTGGCAAACACTCATCTTTATCCATCCTCCTTTAACAAATAAAAAAAATAAAATAACCTATGACTTATTTATTACTAGTTGTATTTATTGCAGCTTTCAGTTTCTTTAAGATGATCATGCTTAATTTGCTGAGCAGTCATTGCCCTTTAAAAGTCTTCTTCAATCATCCCCTTGTGTCCTTTGAACTCAGCTGATCTGCTCTTTCATTGAATTGTATTTCTAATTATTGTTCTTTACATTTTGCATTTGTGAGACCATGTTTCACACCCCCAAAATATTAGTAGGGACATAAAAATATCAGTGGTAAATCTTAACTGTAGTAACAACCAGGGCTGGGCCATATCATATGGTCAGTGATAATAATATTATAAATATAATATAAAAAATGTCATATCATTGCTATAGCGATGCTATACAAGCCCGGGCGTGTCTGAAAACACTGTGCCAGGCTCCAAACATTTAGTATCTAAAAATGAAGGTACTCTAGAAGCCTCCAACAAAGCAGAGTCCTTCAAAATAGATGAGAAAACCAACCCCACCAAATATGGAAGCAGCACACTTATTTTACCACACCACTGAGTGAAACCAGGCTATAAAAACAGCAAACACTAGCAGCATGTTTAAAGTCACTTTTATTCCTTATTGTGAAGCTCAATTTGAACTTCAAGTCATTATTAGTATGTATGCCTAAATGCATCGAGTTGCTGCAAGATAATTGGCTGATTACATATTTACAATACTGAGCAGTTGAACAAATGTACCTTATAAAGTGCCCAGCGAGTGGATCTGTAAATACACATGTAGCGTCATAGTAATTTGTTAGTTTCTGAGCAAAACATTACAGCTCTTAGATTTACAACTCATGCCATTATTTTTTTTTCTTAAACTGCTAATTTTTTCACATGGAGTCAAAGTTCAGGTAGACTCGCTGTAGATAAAAGCACATTTCTTAATCGGACTTTTCAAGCTATAGCATATCGTTTTGACTGTGAAAGGCTGCTTTACTGCAAAAAGTCTGCCTTTACATGAGTAATTACTCTCCCATGAAGCCCTATTGTATGAACTTCAAGCCTTCAAAAAGCCTTATAGCAGGGTGAAAAGTGCTCTCATGTGATTTAGATGACTATAGTAAAGCTTAATATTTGATAGAGAGCTACGT